ATGTGAAGTGATCCACAGCCTTCCAAGATGAAAAAAACCCACTAATATGGTTTTGGGTTTCTTTAATCTAATTTAGGTGCAGAATCCTGTGACTCAAGATATGCCTGGGGTCAAATGCTGTTCTTGGTTACAGGGTGATGATGTCAAGGCAAAGCAATGTCTTGTCATTGGGGGTTCGTGCTGACATCCAAGAACAGGATTTCCCCTTGCCCCCAAAAAAGCCAAATACCAAGTGCCAACTTTCAAAACATAATCAAACCAGAGCAGCACACAGAATAGCCAGCTCCTCCTTGGAGCAGCGAGGTCGCAACCCAAGTGCATTAGAAAATCATCCCACACAACCACATTTCAGGTGGGGGGGGTAAAGGCCCTGCCTTCTCCTGCCCACTATGACTGGACCTGCCCCCTTGGTGAGCTGGATGCTGTACGGAGGGTGGAAGGGTTTGGGAGGGGGCACAGGTGAAGTGAAGCTTGCAATAATTAAAAAAATAAAGGCATCATCTTTTTACGTCAGTGCGTATGTGTTGCAATAGATACAATACAGAGATGGGCAGTGGCTGAAAGAGATGTTGCCAAAACCTCACGAAACCAGTCAAAATGTGTCTCTCTATCTCTAGTTACTAGTGATGGAGACAAAAAAATAGATAGCCAATAAACAGTTGTTTTTTTTCTCTAGGAGTCCCTCTCCAGATCGAACACGTCCTACAAGCACCACATCAAACTGTGCCCAAATTGCCCCAAGAGCACCAACGTTCAGTCTCAGCAGCCTGCAGCAAGCCCTGCTCATTAGGTGAATGATGCAGCAGTATGGCGCAGCTCTGATGCGTTGTCTTCATGCCCAACTGGGATGGAGCAGCCATCCAGGCAAGCCCTTGGAGGGATATTGGTCCCTTGGGATACAGTTTGGTATTTGGGAAGCTTCTGCATGTGCCAGCCATGGCTCAAGGCTGGATCCAGGGGTGGGTGCTGGCCTCTTGGGCAACTCTTCCCGCTCCCCGGCTCTTCTCCTCGCTCTTGCCTGGGGCTAACGCTTGGGGCAGGCTCTGAGGATGAAAACCGACACAGCTTGAAGGGCTTTAGCAGAAGGAAAAAGCACATCAAGGGAAGAAGGTTGATTGCAAAACCCCTTCACCACAATTTTCTCCAAGATTCCAGAATATGAGTTGGAGCTTATTAAATAGTGTGTCTTGCATCAGCCTCCTAAGGAGAAGTTTGGCCCCAAATCATTTTCTTGGTATTTCTTTTAAAAGAAACCTTGAAAAACCCATTTACAACTAAGCACAGCATGTCAGACATAAATGGTTTTCCTTCTCTTCCCATCCTCCTTTTTTCCACCCCACTGCATATATTTGAGCAAAGTAACTGGAGGTATGGCTTCAAGGAGAGACGCATTTTAAGCTACAGTAATCTGCTTATATATTTATAGCTCCTCAGCCACCACGTATATTTAGACCTTTAACAAAATTTGCTAGGACTTTGCAAAGGTGGAACAAACAAAGCAGGTGAAAAAGCAACATTCATCTGAGCGACCTCGTGGGTCTGCTTACAGCACCTGCAACTTCTTACAAGGAGGTTTGGTTGTTCCTGTCCCTTTCCCAAATGCTACGTGGCTGCAGGCAGGTCTCTGCGCTTGCTCTGGACGTCTTTTTGCAGCAAGTTGTTGCTGAAGGCTCGAGGAGATGGTTAGCCTGCTTCAACACGCAAAGCAGACAGCTCTCAGTGGCTGAGGTGTGGAGAGGATGTCAATGCAAAGCCTGAAGTTCTTAGAAACCATCTTCTATTTCATAGACTTCAGACATTCAAGAGTAGAAAAAGGTTTCTGCTCTGTTTAAATTTTATTTCTGTAAGCATGGCTCCTTTTAACAGGTAACAAGTGCTGATCTTTGCTTTTCCATATCCCAAACAGTTTAAGAACAAGTCTCCTGCCTGACCTAGAAGCCGAGTCAGCTGAAAACCATCAAGAAGCTCCTGGTTTGTGCCTGGTTCATGGTAATGGTAGCAAGATGTGCCATGGCCAAGAATTTGCTGACTTGATGTGGATAAGCACCACCCCCCCA